TTTAAATTCAAATATTAACTGCTACTTATAACGGTTATATGATAAGTACATTATATGTTTCAGAAGTAGCACTAGCACATTGATGTTTGTTGTTGTTGTTTTCGGTTTCTTTATTCTATACTGGACTCAAGGGTTTAATTCCACATCAGTGAAACCCACTCCAGGAATCTGGCTCCGGTCCAGTTTTGGACATAAATAATAACATGCAAGGTATTAGTACATATATATATATATATCTTACATAATTTGGGCGAATGTTGTATGTTGTATATTAATGAAAGGCTCCGTCAGTTTGATCCAATAGCGCCAAATTCACAGAAGATCGATGAGTACACGGGACGGTTCTAAACTATACTCGGTGAAAAACCGTTTTGTTCGGTCTTAAAAAGATTTAAAAAAACTAAAAGGTAAAGATTTGCCTCAGATAGGGCCGCTGTTTTGTTTACGTTCTGTTGTCAACAGTTTCGATTTCGTGTTGTTCTGTCTATCTGTGTTCTAACTTCTGTGTCGATTTGGTGTGTCTGAAGATTTGTGTAAAGCCCCATAATGTAAGTAGAAATAACCAGTAAAATGAAGTAAATTCAGTAGCTATTTCGCCATAGTTTCCCATATGAGATGTACAAGTTGAATTTCATCAGAGCAGATTTTTTTTTGGAAGTCTGCAATGCTGTACGGGTGTCGTACACCACCGATCGTGCAAGCGGTCCGATCACAAGCACGTAATATACGTCGTCCGCCACAGAGTGCAAACATGCGTAGATAATGCGATCACAACCACGCAATCTTACCTGGTCACGTCCGCACACAGGGAAAATGCGAAGCACGTAATATTAGTATTACGTGCTACGCAGCCAAGTGGTTAATCAGTCGCCCGACCTACCAGCCCATTCAGATCTATCTATATTCTAACTTTCCAGTCCGTATCATCAACCAGTAGTTCCTACATAGCAGGCCCGTAGCAGGGGGGTTCGGGGGTTCGAAACGAACCCCCCTGGCCCAAGCAAAAAAAAATTTTGTTTAATTTGGCAAGAATTTCACCTCAGGCGCTTCTATTTTAGTTTAATAATGCAAAATTCCATCGTGCCGGGAGCGTGAAACAGTGAACACCCCTCCCGCACCCTCCCCCGCTCGGCGTTGCTTGGCTCCTCGCCTGGTCGCTTCGCGCACCCGAGCAGGGGCTCTGACAGGGGGGTACCAGGAGTCCGGACCCCACCTTGCTCGCGCCAGAAAACGCATCGGAGGGCGCGGTGTAATTTTAAATATTTCAACCCCCCCCCCCTTCGCGTTGCGCCAACTTCGGTTACGGTTAGACCCCCTGGTACAAATCCTGTACACGCCCCTGCGAGCAAATTGCCAACATTGAAAACGAACGCCCCCCCAAACAAAGCTGGCTACGGGCCTGTCATAGCATACAAATCAAAACATTTGTGTGTGCGTGCGTGCGTGCGTGTGTTCTGTATTTCACTGTGGTGCTGCCAAACAAATGGTTAATGTGTTACGTGTAAGCATGATTGTACATGTATTTGTATTGACATCTCAACCATAAAAAACAAACAAACATGTGCAACAACTAAACTCTCCATATCACACCTTACACATAACACTACTGTACTGGTAACACATGCATCACAGTCACTAAGCCCGCGCGTAGCGCGGGTTTCAGCTAGTCTATATAATAAATGCAGTCGTTTTACTTAGCTATGCAAATATTCTTTTAAAGACCTATGGTATGGTATCGAAGTACATTTAGGTTATCAACTTTCATTGAGCTTGCCACCATGATAGAAAATAATTAAACAAGTACGTAATAGATGATCATACTAGTAGATGCAAAATACTAACATACAATGTCACATGGAATACAGTATTGAATATATGTTAGATACCGAATAACAAGGTAATCATATTCAAAGTTACTAGCAACTGCACTTGTGCCGTGCTTATAGATAACATCATAAATGGACACCTAAATAGATATATGATGATTTAACTATCATGTATAGAACATGCAGTCAAGCAAATTTCCAAATACATAATACCACAATTACTATTCATAGAGCTGCTGTACGAAAAGGTTTGCACCACATTTCTCTTCTTAAGTTAATCCTCCACGGTAAGAAGGAGGGCAACAAGTTTTGATTGGTGGCATGCTACTCAACCCTAAAACGACTTAGTCCACCTTTTAGATCAGTTCAAGATAATTTGTACAAAGCTAATTTTATGCTAATACAAAGTGGCCTTTTTACAGAGATATAAAATGACAATTTTAGCTCTTCCTTAAAAATTCTTGCAATTTAAAGTTTGTCCTTATTGACATTAATAAGGACAGAGATCCCACAATCATCACTGCTGCAAGAAATCCTTCAGATGTTTTGTCTGTCCTCTGGTCCTTCCAAAAATCGGCATATCTCCCGATGGGCTGACTGCAAAATGTAACAAAACAAAATGCAACAAAAACATACATCATAGAATTATGTCACTGGTCATCAAAATGGCAATTGTTGATAAACAGCAGCATAGGCTTAGGTCAATATCAATAATAACCATCACAAACAATTGCCGCAGAGCGACAGCGCTCAACTGACGTGTACTGTAGCCAGGTATTCTTCTGATAAACTGGCCACTGATGTGGCTGGAATACGCATATATACTGTTTTGCCAGGCTATAAATTGTAAGAATTTGTTTCAAATCCTTCATGAGTTTGTATCAATATCAGTATCTATGTCATAGAAATAACGACGTGCATGGCTACAAGTACACACCACTAAAGTACTGCTGTGCTGTAGAGCTGCCCCTACTCCACTTAATTTGGCCTCACAGAATGTATACAGTTCTTGAGCATTTCGGATCAAATGTTGCCTTCTGGTTACTGCTAGTGTAGCGTTGTGTTTTACGACTGCACCTATCCCATCTGCTGATGATTTTCCATGGGAGCTTTCAAAATAATTATGCTGAATTGTAATCCCATATTCCTGTGGATAGATGGACATGTCAGCAAAACTTTTCCCGCATCGATATTGCGCTGCACAACAATCCGAAAATTCTTCGACATGTGTTGTTCCATACTTTTCTCGCAGGTAAGGGTACGCAATGGACATGTACTTTGAAACCGCGTCGGCATCATGCTTTTTTTCATCAGATATGAAGACCAGGGTAACTTTGTCGGTGAATGGGCGGGGTGCATCACTCTTGTTGATGAATGCCATAACTGGGTGAATCGTTGCCTGAGTGTTCTCCCAGTGTGCGCTTTGGACTTCATCTTGAGCTGAACATGTATAGTTTTCAGAAAAGTCGATGATAACCACTGCTGAGTTGGATTTCATGTTTAGTTTACATGTCTTAAGATTAGCTTGCTGCCATGCTGCACGGAAGAGATGGGCACTTAGGTCCTTTAAGGAAAGCTCAAGGTCTTGGATCAGTTCTTGAACTGTAGCTTCTTTTGTTAACAGCTCGGTTACCGTGAACTCTTTTTCTGCATATCGGTCTGATATATCTCTGAGAATATATATTCTGCATATATATCTGAGGTCTTCACCGTTTTGGTTTTCTTCACACGGCTCCAAAGTTTAATTTGAGTTCCCTGTTGTTCTTCAGAAAAGCTGCATAATGTGTGGTCATGTTTTTTTCGCTACAAGAAGTACACTGTCGATCAAGGCAATTGGCTTTGGGCAGGGTCCTGTTATCATCATGACAGAGGGTAATATCCGATATCGCAGAGAGGTCTTCTGCTTCGATGCGTAAATCTCTACATCCATTTGATGATACAGAACTGTTCATTGCTTTCACTTTCAGCTTGACATTTTCACATCTTTGGCAGCAACAGACCACTCGTTCCAAGGCGTTCATACGTCTTACGTTTGAAGGCTTTAGCTGTGTGAACTTGACATAACCAATCTTCACAGATGGATGACACTTTGAATTTTTTGTACGCCTGGGTGTAATTCACTTCCAAGAGGAATTCTTCTTTACATTTTTATTTTGTGAAGTTTCTGAAAGTTTACATAAATTGGAGGGAAAAAGAGGCGATTTCCCTCCAATAAGTCAAAAACAGTGGAGAATCACAGGAAGAGAGTGAGTGGCTCAGCAGCAATTATTGCAATTTCTATTCAACGCTGCCGTCGTCAACGAAACCAAAACAAGCCACGTTTATGGACCAGACCCTGGATTATGAAGAGGGACCAGTTTTGGGCCTATCATTGCCTGCTTCAGGAATTAAGGGCCTCGGACAGAAAAAGCCTAAATAATTGCCTAAAGATTGTTTGAGGCAGAATCTGCTGCAATGCGGCCTTCTTTTTATCCCTGTCTTTATATTCTTTGAGGGTGGTATGGTAAAGACATGGATACTTTTCATACTCTTGAATTAAATCAACAATTTCTTGGAAACTCCAGTCCCTGTCTGATTTCTTTACTTTACTGGAGGCTGCCATTTTGTCCATCTGCAGGATCACATGACTATAAACTCATTTGATTGGCTGAGTTGTTCCAAACCTCAGCAAACTAGTTTGTCAAGAAGGTGCACGGCCTAGTTTGTCAACTGGTCTACACTGGCAAACTTTGGAAAACTTTTCTTGCCAAACTCGGAGTTTGCTCGAGTTTGCAAACTAAAGTTTGCTAGTGTAGACTAGGCTTAACAGTTTGACTGGAATACACCATTTTTTTGCAGTTGGTAAGGAAAGTATAGAGGTACATACCACAGCTAACCATTCTGCTTGCTGGTGGAAATCTTCCATCTTGGGCTGTAACCCTTCTAACCTCTTGGATGATGTAGGGCCATCTTGTTGTCTGGATAGTGCATGCTTATGTCTCTCGAATGTCAGGTAGTCTCCCCCGCTTAGGATCTAAAGAAGCAACGGAAACATATGATAACAATGCACACTCATACATATAAATACTTAAAATAATTACATAGTTGTTCAATGAAATAGACTACAATTTATAATGTGCAGCTGTTCTCATAGAGCTCAATTTACTACAGTACTCAGAATGAATCATGCCGTACATTAATATCAATTTCAATATGAGTGTACAGTGTACACATGCATAATGTACATTTTCAACTTCTTTATCTGGTGTGTGATCTTCTTCAGCACAATACCCGGGCACAAACTGATGTAGGAAACGACAAATGTCCACCATGTCCTCCAATTTCTGTTCATTTTTTTCCAAAACCCCCAGATGAACCTACAATGAACAATAAACAATCATTACTATGGCCTGTGTAATCACTTTAATAATATTATATGTAGATACAATCGGGGGTGGATAATACAAAACGTACATTATGTATTATCTACCCCCTGATACAATCAATGTATAACTTTGAAACCGCAGTGTTTTTTTCTGCATTATTAGGCATCGCCGCTAGAACAATGCCTTGATCACCCCATGCAGATGAAACATAGACAAAATCATGTCAATAACCTTTAAAGGATTGGACAAATTTAGAGATTGGTGATACACAGGCATATATCCATATCATTTGGTCAGTACCTTCTCTGTTTTAGTTGACAATTCTTTCATGTACTGATGGTCTCTAATTCTAGGAATGTACTTTTTGATCCATGACAATGCAGGTATTTGCTGAACCCAAACATGGCCCTCGAAAATCACAAATTCATCAGACATAGCTTCATTTTCTGCCACAGATGGAAGGAATGTTAAGAATGGTATTTTAGTAGGGTCCACCACCCGACCCTTGTCAGACAAGTTGTTGCCAGATACCCGGTTCTTGTACGCTATTAAATGATAAAGGTGATGATCAGGGTGTTGCCGCTTTTTTGTCATATGGCGAACCTTGAAGCGGATGTCCACATTATCCCCTACAATCATACAAATTCAAGAAATATGACTAACTGTTTTCTGTGAAAGCAAATGAGAAGTTTTTGTAGATGTTCACTTGTTGTTCCAAAATTGTCTAATAAAGTTACGAGTTGAACTACTGAGATGGAACTGAGATGGATTACATTACAATAGTTATATTTACTCGTAAAAGAGTAACCTGGAAACATTTGTTTTCTCAAGTCTGCCAGTTCTTCATGCATTTCATCAGAGAGTACCAATGGGGGATGGCATTTTTGAACGAATTCATTCCGCTTTGCTATATCAGCCTCTACAGATTCCTTCCAAGTATTAACTTTCACTGTGTAGTCTTTTCCATAGCGTTCGAAGATTTTATTAGTGGTTGAATAAGCCATGCAGTCACCAGTTTTGTTGAAGGTAGAAAAAGGTAGTGTCTTTAAATAGACATGTTACGTGTACATGTATGCAGTAAAATATACTGTTAATGTATAAGTATGTTACAAGGCTTTTATAAATGAATCCTTGCATACATGGCACATTTAATATATATGTAAAATAAATGTAAATGCAAGTCTACTGTATAATCTACATGTACCTTTTTCAAACCGCTTTTCTTCACTATGATAGACTTGATGTGTCTCACTGCAACCATGCTGTTGTTAAAAACAGATAACAGCTTGCTGATGGCATCTAACATAGGTATGCTTGTTTCATTGGTCTTCTTGAACGACTGTAGCATCAGCCAAAATCCTGGCATTCTCTTTTCTATTTCATTTTGTACCTGAGAGGCAATTACGAATTTCTAGTATATAAATGAATATGACATACTGTAAAAAATAGTTAACTAGGCAGGCCTCTACACTAACGGTTGTCGGATGGCCCGGGAAAAGTGAGTCTATGTCGGACAAGTTCTCTTAATTGGCTAGTTGCCCGATTGGACAATTATAGTTGTTTAATATTTTTAACAGCCTTTGAGCTAGGGGGCGATCGCACGATATTCTCACGTTTTATTTTCAAAGGTCGCCGAAAAAAACCAGCACGCGACACCCGTGTCACCTACTTTTTACCCACCGTGTCAGCCGTGCTGTGCGTGCCTGGCTGCTGCAGCATTGGTTGATGTGGGGGGAGGGTGCATGACGGGTGGGTGGATGGGTGTGGGAGCCGCATGGGGCATTTTTATAACTGAATATGTATGATATATACTCAGTATGCTTAGTATCATGATACCTTTTTCCAGGAAAATTGATCGAGGTCCTCTTTTGCAGTCCTTCGTAGGATAGAAGGTTGACTGTTCGAGCACATCAATTCAGCTTCTACGCCAATGTCTTTAGCTCTTGCAATACTGCTAGGTTTCCCTAAGGCAAGCTGTGCTCCTAACGTTTGCAGTTGAGGCCAAGCTCTTCTGGGGGATGACTTGGGGTAATGGACAATAATCTGCAACATAATAATGCATCTTTCAAAGATATCACACATATTTTACAGTATGTTTACGTGTGTGGTCACTGGTGTGGATTGTGGGATGTAAAAGCACAAAATGGAGTAGACGGTACTAGTCTATACCGGGCCAATGCAGGCAAAACATTGCAAACTACATGATATAATACTGTACGTTGTATACATGTATATGTACATACACATACAGTAATATGCACATTGCATTCTTACCTGGACTGGGCTTTCTTTGGTATTCTCTGACCAGGCATCTGTCTGTGTCTCCCAGCTAATCCCGGCAGTGCATGGCGCCGGCTAGATACAATAATGTAACCCAAACCCAGGAGGATAGGGGGATAATTTTTTAGTACATCTATTTGTGCAACATTAATGCCATCTAACATGAACGATTCCAGGACTGTGACGCGTATACAAGAATTTAAGTTGGCAATCTTTATAAGATTTTGGTCATGAAGTGAGTCAAACTTCTTTTAAATGCATAGCAGATAGCATAGCCTCTGTGTCCGTCTCTAGCGCATCTCCCAATCTCCTGCCAATAAGCCAGAGCTGCCTCAGGTAACCCCCAATGAACTATAACGTCAACATCCTTTACATTTATTCCCAATCCAAAAGCGACTGTTGAAATAAGCACCCGAATATTGCCGCCTGAATTTGTGAAGTCTTTTAGTATTTTATCTTTAACGTCAGTTGTTGTTTTCGAATGGAACATTTCGACTTTTCTGTTTTCATAGCCAGGATGGTCATTTACGAATGCACTGTTTTTAAATTTTGTAAAAGCCACATGAATATTTTATAACAATAATTGATAGATCTGACATACACAATGACCCTTTTTGGACTAGATGAATTTCGGAGGTTATCAAGCAGCCATTCCATGTCGCTGTCGAACTTTCCAACCGATGGCTCCACATGTAGAAATATGTTGGGTCTGCAATATGAAAAGGAAAACACTGAAGCACATCATCTGTGCAAGGCACTGTTAATAAAGTTATGGGTGTATGATTGCGCAAGTGTCTTCGTAGTCACAAGTAGGGTGTTTCCTGGGCATTGGTCCGGCCTAGCAGGTATGCCTTACATCCCCGTTTGAGGAACAGTTGCCTGAACTCCTGGCAGCGCGTCTGAGCTCATCCTTCAGCTTCTTACCTCTGCGTGAGACGGGGGTGGGTGTGTGATCGCGCATGTGTCTCAAGGCCGGTGAGGCTGAGAGAACGTGCCAGTGAGTGAGCACGTTCTGTTTGAACGATGGGTTGTTGGGGTTGTATTCCGTAATAGAAGGGATTTGTTGGTAAGAAGCGCAAGGTGAGAAGCGCATCAGGGGGCAGTGTGAAGCTACAACAGCTTAACACAAGAAAGTGTAATTACGTAACGTTTGATATAGTTCCAACTGTGTATTATAACATGCATGTATTTACCTGTTGGGTAGATTTGCAACAACTGTTCATTGTAGATTTGTACTGACTATACGTGGGATTAGTGTTGCTACCATTATGAAGCCCTCTCTGCTGACAGAAGTTGTTCTCAATGACATCACTGTTAATCCGGCTTGGATTCACTGAGTGGAAGTCAGGTGCCTTGAACCTAAATAAAGTAAGAAATCATAATGTCAGCCTTCAGATGACGGAAAAATGGTTGCCCTCTATATTGCACGTGAAAGGAAA